TCAGTACATACATGCCATGTGTACACATTATGTGCAAAAGTAGTTAATTGAGAGTCAAGAAAGAATGAGTTATCTGTCCCAAAACAGGGTGGCCTTCAGAAGGATCACCAGAAATGCCCGCAAAAGGCAATATTGCCTGCTTCTCTTTTCTCTGCCTCTGGTTTGATTGTGTGGGTGCACTTCTGTGGGAAAAGAACAAGTTGTTCGCATTACACTCAGAGTTGTTTTAAGGAGGTAGAGAGGGTGACGGAGGTTACTGTGATTGGCCCTTGTACCAGTCTTTAGACTGAATATAATCTGAGGCAAATCTGTTCATATGACTAGAAAGGTAAGATCACAGCATGACTGTGATATTAACCTAACTCTAGATCCAGCTTCAACAGTGCCCATTGTGTACCAGGCAATGAGGTAGATGCCGAAAACATGGAGATGAGTTTATCATCTTTCTCATCTTCAAGTACGGGGGCTGAGAGGGGAGCTACGTAAAGAGCAAGTCAATACAATGCAGGATTTGTGATGGCAGAGAGATATTGGCTTCTTTGAAAGCAAACAGGGAATGGCATGAAGCAGGAAAGGCTCCTTGGAGAACATAATAGCTAGGCTCCAAAGTAGAGATGGTGCTGGAAAGAAGGTGCCAACAATGCGGAAGGAGATGGACACATTTGTTAGGTAGGGACTGTCCTACAGGTTTCAAATATAAGTGTCAGTAGACAAAATCTTCATTTTCCCACTCTTATTTAAAAATTTTTTAATGTTTGTTTCTGAGAGAGAGAGAGTAGGGGAGGGTCAGAGAGAGAGAGGGAAACACAGAATCCGAAACAGCCTCCAGGCTCTGAGCTAGCTGTCAGCACAGAGCCCGACGTGGGATTCGAACCCACGAACCGCGAGATCATGACCACTCGTAATGGAGCACAGAAATGATTGCAATATGCAGATTTTATTTAACAATTTAATCACTTTACTCAAACCAGGCTTTTAGAGGCAGACTACTAGCTATATAGTCATAACCAATTTGCTTTAAAAATCTCTTTATTTCCTCAAATTCTAAGTAGCATATATATCCCTTATAAAAAGTAGGGAGAACAAATTAGAGATGTAAACAGACACCAATCAGGTAAGCAGCCCTGGGGTAGACTTTATTTTGTAAATGCAAAGGTAAAACATGGAATAATTATTTTAGTTGCAATTAAATTAACAGGAAATAGCAAAGCAGTATTATTGAATCACGAGGAATTGTTCATTGTGATTTATTGTATAGTGATAATTGTTTCAATATTACAGTATTGAAAATCATGAACAGATAAAATATTAAAGCAAATTAAATTTTTCTTCTTTTAATCTGAGTAAAACCTGGGAATAGTTGATGAAAGGGAAAAAGATAATTATAAATCAGTGAAAATTACATTTAATACTTTCTTTAAAGTATCTATGGTATACCAACAGTTTTTGAAGTAAGACAAGTTACAAAGGAAAGTAAAACTTTCCATGTATTCCAAGAGATCTATGAGAAAATTGACCTGAGAATGAATCCATTTAACCACCCAGATTCTTTGGATTTATTCTGGAGACAAAGCACCTTATAACTAGGGTTGGCAAATTTACTGCTACCTCCTTTTATGCCTTATGTTGATGACTTTTCCACAAATTCTCACTTCTTGGTCATCCATTTCTCTGGCTCTGAATAGATACAATGATGTGTTTTCTTTATCTCACAGAATTATTATCTCACAGAACTGTTGTTCTGGAGCTGAAATGCAATTTGTGACTCAATCCATTTTCTCCTCTACGACACATCATAGCATTGCATTTATATGACATCCAAATTCAGTGTTTTATTCAAAATGATAATCTTGAACAAGGTTTAGAAGGGGAGGAGCAAATGTTTTATTCATTCTTTCATTTATTTGTGTCCTGTCTTACTCTGAAAAGGACGCAAGGTAATTTACAGAAATCCATGTAATAAGACATGGTGAACTATAAACTGGGTGAGGAAATTAAAGCAAAGGGAAAATTGGGGTAAGAAATCTGAAGAGTCTGCAGAGGACAGCACGTCATGAAGACATAACCTGCAAGAAATGGTCATGGATCTGGGTGTCAGCCCTCTAACAACAAATGCAGAGGAGAGACTCTCCATTTCATAGTAAACAGGGTCTTTTCAGAATATGAAACACAAATGGAAGTGTTCAGTGCAGATTCATAGCACTGAGGCCCGAGAGAATTGTACCTCATTGTTCATCATTCAATTCTGTAGAGTGTAACAAATTTACCAAAACAAAGCAGAATGGAATCATAGAAAATTGCTTCTTAGAGAGCTCCATAATGACTTCAGCAGAGGCACATCAATGTGCCATATGATAAATCTGACCATTGCAATTAGGCCCAGATTTGCCACTCTGCTGGACTTACTTTATCCACATAGATATTACATGTTCTTGAGACTTGAGTAATTGTATTTACTTGAGATCAGTAAATATTGCTTCCCTCTACCAAGTTTTCAATTAGTGTTGAGTGGTTGGAATTTAGTGTTAATACTAATAGCTGAATATTGAATTAAACAATTAACCAAATGAAGATTACCATAGTCAAAAACTACCATATGGACTTAAGTGGTGGAGTTTATTTTAAGCCCTCTATGTTAAGTTCCCACCACTAGTGTGGTAAGCTCTGTTAGATAAGGCTTGCTCACAGTTACCAATACCAAAGCATTGTGCTTGAAAGTGCTCTAATAGAATGTTTTATCTCCATGACTCCTTAAAAAAATTTTTTTAAATGTTTATTTACTTTTTGAGAGTGAGAGAGAGAAACAGAGTGTGGGTGGGTGAGGGGCAGAGAGAGACAGGGAGACACAGAATCTGAAGCAGGCTCCAGGCTCTGCACTATCAGCACAGAGCCCAATGCGGGGCTCGAACCCATGAACCGTGAGATCATGACCCGAGTTGAAGTCGTATGCTCAACCAACTGAGACACCCAGGTGCCCCAATCTCCATTCTAAGCAGAATCTCCATAACTCAGTTTTTAAGGCCGCAGTGAAAGATACGAAGGTTATGAGCTTCTGCTTCTGAAGGTCAGAGAAAATTATTTCACTAAAGTACTATTTTATTTTTCCCCCAGCTAACTTCAATGAGTGAGTCCTAACAGATTGGATTCATAAATACAAATATATTTACCACTGTTTCCAGCCCTCTTTCCTTTCACATTTTCATGTGTGTAGATCTGCTTCTGGAAGTTAAATCTAGAAGAGGTCAGGGTGGTACTGGTAGGAAGAGGAATGTCCCATTTAGAATACCATGATGAATGTATATGAGCTTTGATATAAGGGAGAACTGAGAGGCTGGAATCTAAATGCGCTGTATTTTAAATAATGTTAACATTTCCTATTGCAAAAACTACTGAAATGCTATCTTTAAAAATCAGTATTTTGGTTGGCTAGACAGCAACTTATTTGTTGGTTGTCACTGGTCATCAGATCTGTGGAGGTCTGATGGATTTTAGTGATTCACAACTAAGCATTAAACCTACGTAGGGTTTTGGGAACTATGTTTATATTAGCGGTAATGAAGGCCTTGCATTTGCGAAGTGAATGGGCCAAGCTTAAATTCTATGATATAAATAGCAGAGACATCCTTATGGTTTGTTATACCACTTTAGTTCCTACACTCTTTATCTTCTTCCTCTGTTCCATTACATTTCACCATTGCACTGAAAGCCAGCATTCTTAGCAGTGTGTGTTCAAATGACATAGAGTAGCAGAATACAAGTCCCCTCTAAACTACTGAATGCGTAACTATTTTTTACGCTGCTAGGTAAGCTTCAGTAGTCACATAGACAGGGGGTTTATTGTGATAACTAACACATGCTTAGTCAATCCTTACGCCTCCCCAGCTAAACTGAGAAGGCACCTGTAGAAGGCCTGCTTTCCGAGAAGGCAATGACGGTTGTTTCAAGGTGAAAAAACTCAGAATAACCATGTTGATATTAACAATGTACTTTTAAACTATTATTATTGAAAATGAAGTTTGGTGACTATTATCCATGTTAATATGGGAATACCCTTGAAAAATAATGTCCTGGGGTCCCTCGATGGCTCAGTCGGTTAAGCGTCCGACTTCAGCTCAGCTCATGATCTCATGGTTCGTGGGTTCGAGCCCCGCGTCGGGCTCTGTGCTGACAGCTAGCTCAGAGCATGGAGTCTGTTTCAGATTCTGTGTTTCCCTCTCTCTCTGACCCTCCCCTGCTCACGCTGTTTCTCTCTCTCTCTCTCTCAGAAATAAATTTTTTAAAAAAAAGAAAGAAAAATAATGTCCTATTACATCCTGGTTGTAAGAAAGTAAAAGGGGTTTTATATATTGTATTTGTGATTATTGATGTAAATAATAATGTCTTCAGTGTCTTAAACTTTAATTATATTTTAATAAATTATTAATCATTTTGGTAGCATAAATGATGAAATGTCTGAGAAATGAGTTATTAAAACTAAAATACCACTTGAAATATTAATATTCAAATCAATATTTGACCAATATTAATCAAATTGGGGTAATTGAATATTATTTGTTTCTTTGTTTGTTTGTTTGTTTTATTTCTGAGAGAGAGAGAAAGACAGCGTGAGCAGGGGAGGGTCAGAGAGAGAGACAGAGAGGGAGATACAGAATCTGAAACAGGCTCCAGGCTCTGAGCTGGCAGTCAGCACAGAGCCCGATGCAGGGCTCGAACCCATGAACCGTGAGATCATGACCTGAGCTGAAGTTGGACGCTTAACTGACTGAGCCACCCAGGTGCCCCGAATATTATTTGAATACTAACAAAATGTAATTTTTGAGTGTATGTAGTTAGGGTTAAAGAACAATGAAGTTATGTATGGATTGTCTTTTAAAATCTAAGTTATTAAATTATGCTCATAGTAGTTTTTTCATGGTTAAACTATACATTTGCAAAAAGCTTTAAGGTATAATTCGTAAATGTATGAAAGCTAATACTATATATTTTGCCCTTAATTTTAGTCATGATTTCATTGGAGAATTTACAACAAGCTATAGGGAACTTTCTAGAGGACAATCACAATTCAATGTATATGAGGTAAGAGGAATTTTATTCTATTATTATTTTCCTCTGGAATAAGTGAAATTATCCTTTGAGAGTATAGATTTTGTAAAGGATAATTGACAAAGGTAACTAAGTACCAATATATGTAAGAATCTTTCGGCTTGTTAAACAGACTTGTTTCTGAGATTGAATGACATCATTTCTCTTAAGTTCCATGATCTTTTAACTCTATTTTGAGAAATTTAAAAATTCTTGCCTCTGGAGCTTTTTATTATTTTTAAAAATTCAATACGAATGCAAGTTCATTTTTTCATAAACCTCACTCTTTGTGTTTTGCCTTCCTACCAGCCTTCTATCCCAAACCTTTTTAATAAAAAGAGAAAAATATGCATTTTCATTATGTCAACATAGTGTTATAAAATGAACTGTGGTCTGTTTAGTATGTTTGAGCAACTTCCCTGTTGTTTAGTTGAAGACTGAAGGGAATGACAAGGTATGATTCAGTCATTAAAGAAATCCAAGTTATTAAGACAAGCGCAGTAGTTATTTCTGCCTTAAACCTACCTTGCCACTTAGCTACCAGATATGTATTGAGCACATGGTATGTTTTGGCACTGTTAATACTGGAACTAAGCTACCTGTACATTCTCTATAATTTTTTTATTTAACAAACATCAATAGGAAAGGAGAATATTTTAGTATTAGTCAATAATCATAACTCTCTCTGCCAGATTGACACTAAAATTGTACCCTCTTTTAAGTTAGGAGTGGAGCACTTTCCTTCTTCGACAGCAGTAGCATTTCATTCATTCACTTATGCATTCATTCACTTATAAAAATGTTTATCCCATGGTTTTTATATTCCACATTCCCCAAGGCCCTGGAGATATAGAGATTATTAAACATTTCAGTGTCTAATCGGAGACAAACACATGAAATATGTTTTTTTTAATTAAAAAAAACTTTTTAAATGTTTACTTATTTTTGAGAGGGGGGGACGCCTAAGTGTGGAAGGAGCAGAGAGAGAGGGGAATGCAAAATCTGAAGTAGGCTCCAGGCTCTAGGCTCTGAGCTGTCAGCAAAGAGCCTGACACGAGCTCAAACTCATGAACTGTGAGATCCTTACCTGAGCCGAAGTTGGATGCTTAACCGACGGAGCCACCCAAGTGCCCCTGGTGTATTTTGTTAACTGCTATATACTGTATAGTAGTTTACGTAGTAGAGTATGAGATATTATAGAGCAAACTTCCCAGGCAAGAGCAAAGATGGCGTAAGGATCAATTTTTCAATCTGGGTCTTCCAAGGAAGGAATATTAAGCTCTACACAGGCAATGAAAGTAATATAAGACAGGTTGTACTCATATCAATGCCTATTTTCTCCACCTACCTGTGGGCTTCTAGATCTCCAGCCAAACCCAAGCTTTTAAAACCCCCTGCAGCTTTACAGACTGATTTCGGTAAAGACCTCTTGTCAGTTCCTGAGCTGATGGGATTACCTCCAGAACTGTAGTCATGCTGGGTTGGAGCTGCTTTTGAAGCTGTTTAGGTCTTCAACAGTATCTATGATTGGGGGGCGGGAGGGTGCTTTGATCAGAGTCTTGAATGGGCATGGATTCTGTCTGGTCCCTGGGTGGATGAGACTGGCTCTAGTACTTGATTCAGGAAGCAGCTTCAGGAGGCAGGGTCCTCAGTCAAGTGGCCTATTACTAAGTGTGAGGATGTGTGTGGCTCCCGCCAGGGCTCTTAGAGAACTCTTGTCTGATCACTGGACAGGACCCTAAGCAAGACTGGCTCTGGACCATGCCTAAGAGTGTCAGCCACTGACTCCTATGGCTGTTTCAGGTACCAGAGCCAAGACTTAGGTTTGTAGACCTGGCTCTGGAGGCACAGATGGGCATGTCTCCTCCCGCCGGGTCCCTGAGTGGGCTAGCTTGCTTCCTGCCCGAGGTCAGAGGGGCTGAGGCCAAATAAATATAAGGATATTTCATGATCTCCTGAGGTACAGTCATGAGTGTCCCCTGGTGGGTCCTTGTGCCAGCAATATTGCTCACAAACTGGAAAGAGCTAGAACCAATTATTGGGCCCTTTCAGGGTCTGGACAATTGCAGACAGGAGTGTTTCTCACTGGGACCCTGGACCCATAGGACAGCTGGTGGACTGTGGCTGTGAAGGGGCTGGAGCAAAGGATAGAGCCCTTTGGGGATCTCTAAGCTTGCAGAGAGCGTTCAGGATCTCCAGGCATTGCAGACAGGAGTGTCTCGTGCAGGCTTTGTGTACCTGCAGGCCCTCAGGTTCATTTCAGTAACATGGATTTGCTCTCTGCCCCAGCCAACCTGGGCCACTTACTTTTTCCTCTTTCTCAAATGGTGTGTCTTTTCTTTTTTATTGTAGCTTTAGTTTAAATTAATAAAATTTAGTTCAAATATGACTTATTCATAAATTCTTTTAACTTTCCTTACCTGTCAAAAATGTTTCCCGTGATTTTTGGATTGGATGTCCTGAAGTATCTTCTGTCAAGGCACTTACATGTTTTATTTATCCTATTAGATCGACAGATTTTACTCATCTTCATATTCTCTAAGTTCTTGGTGTCTTGAATAACATAGGAGTGCAGGAATATTTCCTCGTGGAAGAAGTGGTCAAAAATTAAATCTTGGGTCCACAACGAGACCTTTACCAATTATTACATAGCCTGGATGTCTGGTGGGAATTACTGGCACTGACAGCAAAAGAGTAACGGAGCCCTCATATATGTGCACATAGTCGGGTGATTTGCTATGTTAATGCTTTTCACCTAATAACAAATTCATGTCTCTTGCAGATACGCTTCTTTGGCTATGCATAGTTTACTACAAAGCAATCACTATTATTTAGGATCTAGGATGTTAAAGGTCTCTCTTGCATCAAGAAGATACAGATGGATAAGGGTAATCAATGCATAAAGCAACTGAGAAGAATATTACCGAAAAAAAAACTTTTTTAAAGAAGACAGTCATGAGTAAATTTTGTAGAGAAATTTTGGCTGAAGGACTGTCCAGGAGTCTTAGTAAAGGCATTTGTAAATGAATAAATGCATTGGCAGTGAAGGCAGCAGTTTGAACCAACCATTTTGTATATATTATGTATAAATCCTATGCATGTTATATATAAATCCTAACACATTGTAATTGTTTTATCTGCTTTCAAGGTGGTGAATCCCAAAAAGAAAGGAAAAAAGAAAAAATATACTAACTCAGGAACAGTAAGTCAAAATTTATGTTATTCACTAAAGAGCCAAATAAATGAGTTAAAAAAAACAAACAAAAAAAAAACCCCACAACTGTAACATTTACATTGAACAGAACTAAAGACTAAGCTCTTGAAATTTCCCAAAATCTAGACTAAGCTCTTGAAATTTCCCAAAATCTAGACAGCGCCTGTCTTGGTGATATATTAAGGATTCTTATGCCCTAGTGAATAGGAGTTTTGTTTTTGTTTTTTTTCAATTTAACCTAGGATTTTAATATGAAGGTATATAATAGAAAAATGAACTTGCTGTGGGAATGGTTGCAATGGAGACTACTTTATAAAAAGTAGCGACCCAGCTTCCTGCAGGTTGTCCCCAGGATTATGTGGTCTCTGTGGGAAGCTGAAGTTTTGTTAAGAAATCTTCACTGAGTGGAATCACACTAGAGAGAATCAAGTAGGTATGAAAAATCGTAAGTGTTAGTAAGAATTACTATACTCTTTACAGGCTTCCCTTAGCTATTAAGACTCATGGTATATGCAAGTACTTGTTTATAGTGTGTTAAAATTTACAGCTTGTAGATGCTGGTCTAAACCAGGACAGGAAGGTGTAAAGATAAAAGTATCTTAAAATTGCAAAAAGCCTTAAAATCATCCCATTCCTTTTTGGGGGGGAGAATTCAAGTGTGCCTTTTTCCCCCACTGGAGAATAATTAACACACAATGTTATCATTTCAAGTGATCGATGCAACAATTCTCACCATTGTTACGAGCTCACCACAGTAAGTGCCCGTCACTGGTTGTCACCATACAACCTTATTACAGTATTATTGACTGTATTACCTCTGTGGTGCTTTTCATGTCTGTGACATTTCTTTTATAATATACTGATGATTTTGTCACCAGATTAAATTTTCTTAGAAGCAAAATCTAAGTTCTCATTAAGATTTCTTTTTCTTTTTCTTTTTTTTTTACAATTAGTTTATTGTCAAGTTGGTTTCCATGTAACACCCAGTGCTCATCCCCACAAGTGCCCTCCTCCATGCCCATCTCCCCCCTCCCCCCTCTCGTCAAGATTTCTATACTGCAAGACACTTAAAATATTAGATAGCCCTATTACAGGACCACGACAAAAGCACACGTTTCCTCTCAAAAGGTTTAACTCACTGGTTCTGATTTTTTTAGTTTTAACTATGTTTCAACTCCTTTCATCTTTCTTTCTATCTAAAATGGGAAGTAACACCGTGTCCTTGTAAATAATTTTCATGCTATTCTTCAAAGGAAGTAAACTGGTCATAGTTAATTTTTTTGGCCCTTTTCCTTCTCATAAATTTTAAATGTAAGAGCAGTCAGTTCTGATGGATTTTAATAAAGAATCATATCATTATTGATTTTCAAAATGTAATGTCCCTCTCCAATATGAAATATGAGTTCCTCTCTAATAGTTAGAATAAAGTCCATTTAGGGTTTCAATTAGTACCAGAAGGTAATTCTGCCTTGTTTTTCTTTCCTTTTCTTTTTCAGGTAACCTTACTCTCTTTTTTGGTAGAAACAGAAGTTTCATTCCTTGACTATATTAAAGGAGGGTAAGTCATTCTCTGAAATTGTCTCACTGCTTAAACATTTCTTTCATTGTGTTTAGGAGGTTCTACCACTAGGTAATAGGTAACAGAAATGATCAATTTTAATATAGTTTGCTGGCAGCCTTTTTGCACTTTTTTTATAGACTTAAGGAGATAAACCCAGAGAGCTATTACTTTGGGGGAAAATTGTAACTTTCCTGTGACCAAGAGAAGAAAACTTCATTGTGTTAATAATAGTTGCAGAGAAAGCTATTATATGCACTTTCAGAGAGTATTTTCAGTTGCCTAACATATGGGACTTTTTAATATGCACTTTTTATTATTTTTGAAATCGAAGAAAAGCTTGTTGTAAATGTATATTTGAGCTCCAGAATATTCAAGAATGTATCTTGTCATAAAATCATAATGCAGAAATGGATGGCGAAGAGTCAGTTAGTTGCTTCCTAGGATTCCAGACAAGAATACATTTCAGAAAAAAAAATTGTTGTTGTAACAATTCTTGAAATTTTCCAAAGTCCAGACAGGGTCTGTGTTGGTACTATATTATGGATTCTTATATCCTAGTGAATGACGAGGGTTTTTTTTTTTTAATTTTGTTCCTATTTTTAACCTAGCTGTCCCTATTTTTTATAACCAAGCATCCCCAGAGACCGAAAACAATCATTCATTACCATATAGTCTAAAATGTACACATATTGTAATTTATTTGCTGTTACCTATATTTACAACATACAAAAATGGTGAGAGATAAATTTGAGTGTGTTTAGTAACTTGATGACAAATAATAGTAGCCAGAGACAACACTCATGTAAACGTCTTTGTAACTATGATTTAGTAATCTTTTTTTCTAACACCAGTTCATGGATAGAATGCCATGAGGTAGAGAAAAGGGATGAGGAGGCCAAAGGAACAAACATTTTACTAAAAAAACAGAGAGCTTGACCTTTTTGCTCTTAGTTAAGGAAACAAACAAACAAACAAAAACCAAAAACTATACTTGCTTAAGTGGAGAATCAGTGCTATACATGGGCATCTTGCAACTTCTCACCTAGCTGCACAGACTGAGAAGCTCTGGTGGTTATTTCAATAAAGTTAAAGGAAATAGTACTAAAGTAGAAAAAGAAATGTTTGCTGTTAAAGAAAAGCTTCAGGAGTGAGCCTGTGAGTAAGGAGAAAGGATGTGGACCTTTATTCAGGTTTACAAACTGGAAGGAAAACCCAACTCAGTTTGTGTGCTTGTCCACAAAGGATGAGAGGAGGTGGTGTTTTTAAAGCTTCAAACCACAATGAGGGAGAAATTTCAGTTGGTATGATTTGCTCAGTATTGTGGGTTGGGGAGAAATTGTCCAGGTGTCTAAACCTCAGAATGAATTATCATGATTCCAGGAAGTGGCTGTTGTGTGATCTTCAACTGATGTCAGTTGCAAGATGGAGTCAGAGTTGCCAACTGTTCCTTTGCCTCTTCATTTCCTCTTTTCGATCACTGTTGTATGAAACATGGCCATGATCAATTACGGTGGGGGAAACTCATTATGGTAGAGTTCCTTGTTGCCCAAGTGCTTGTCTGCTTTGATTCCATCCAGTCCTTCATATGGGGCATAAGGGTATATTTGGAGCAGTGTACACAGAATCTTCAGTCATCGTAATCAGCTTGGGAGTGGAAGAGGAGAAGAGAGGCACTTCTGGAAACAAGCAAAACATATTTTACATAGCAGCCAGGTATTTAATCCAAAAATTAATAGTCTCATTCAGTATTGTAGTCCAGATTTAAAGATGTTTACTGTTTTGTGAGGCAACCCACTAAAGAGATTGAATAATGGTAGGTAGCTTTAATTTATTGGAGGTAGATTTGTTGATATTGTGAAGCCAAGAGTTCTGTATGGAAATTTTTAAATTTCTAATTCCACATTTAACAAAGTATTTAACCAGGAGTAACAAGAGATATTAGCAACAGCACAGATACCCCCTTGTTCTACCAACCAGTAGTCAAGTGCTATTTGATTGTACTACTAAAGCAAGAGAGTCCCAGGAAAATTGTAAATTTTATAGGGCTGAAGTAGTATTGTGGGATAATTCCTATAGAACATTTGTAAGATTACACAGGGTGGCTTTATAATAAGAAAATCCTCCCCAGGAGGCCAATATGCCTATAGCCAGACCAATTCTAACAACTATTATACCTAAGCCCTTAGGGTTCTATGAGGGGCAGTGGAGTTGTGGGTAGGGTAGACAGATCGAGTCATATGAATCATGACTACAGTGTCCAGTGACCCAGGTATTGTTAATGCATTTGAAGTCTAAGGTTTCCATAAGGGTTTCCCGTATAGAACAGATAATTAAGAGGGCTGCCAGAGATAAAAATATACCCTTCAGAATCACACCAAGATTAAGTTGCTCATGTTTTAGTGTTCAGAGTGGTGCTGTTGATGATGGGGAAGGAAAAATTGGCACAGAAGGAAGATAGGGGTCCTGCAACATAACGTTTATTGAGATGGACTTTGGGATTAGTTTGATTATAGCAAAACCTCTTACAAGTATTCCATTATGGGACTTTCTATATATCATTCCCTGGGCAGTCACTGGACCCAAGTATTGATAATCAGTTTCATCATTTGTCTTTTGTTCTGTGATGACCTGGCAGAAGGGAATAGCATTAGGGGATGTGATTAAAATATGGTTGTAGCTTGATAGATTATAGTGATCAGTGAATGCAAAAGGGAGATTTACATCAGTAGATGTGTCCCAGGGAGACATATCTTATTCAAGAAGTGAAATTGTGAAGGGCGTCTGGGTGGCTCAGTCAATTAAGTGTCTGACTTCAGCACAAGTCATGATCTCAAGCCTCAAGAAGTAAAATTGTGGACAGGAGTAACATCAAAACAAGGAAAAGAGGTTAAAGCAAATGGAGTTAGGGTACCTTTGAGAGAGTGAGGAGGAACAATTATATTTGACAAGAGGCATTGTGCATGATCTTAATGATCTTTATCTGTGGGCCAATCTTATTGAACTAAGGGGAGTTAAGTGAGAGTATTTTTGTATTTGGTTGCAGTTTTGTGTGGGTTTTAGTAACATACCCAGCAATTTTTAGGGAGCTCCCCTGGGCTATGTTTGGGACAGCTTACAAGTGATATTAGTATTCCAATCAGAGGGGTTCCCTCTTTGATAGAACATCGTAATAAGAATACTGTTAACTGGTTTTTCATCTTGAATTTGTATAGGAGTTGAGAACAAAGGGTAGGGACTATAGGCATAAGTCTTATTAAAGCCTAAGGGTCATTAAGGAACTCTCCATTTAAGAACTCAAACCAAGGGAGGAGCTAAAGGTCATAAAACTTCAAGCAGTCTTGGGTGAGGGAAAAAGAACAGTGCTGAAAATGAGACAAGAGGAGAAAAAAATAAGAATTAAAGTAAAAGTAGAGTTCTGGCTTGGTCCTGGATCTTGGGTTTAGCTATTTTATTCGATACTGTCTGTTTCACTTCTGGGTTTTGGGATATCTTCTGAAAGGGGAGTGGCTCTCCGCTTGTTTTCAGGATCTGGAGCCCTTTTTAAATGAGAAATGAGAATCTCTGAGTCAGGCCCTGGTAGCTTTGCTGCACATGAGTTACTTAGCAATATCTGATAAGGTCTTTTCAATTTTGGCTGCAAAACATCTTTAGGTTGACGTCTCTTCACATATACTGGATCTCCAGGCTTAAGGTCATGAGTATTTTCTTCATTTCCCCAGGAACACTCTGTAAAATGAATCTTTAACAAGTTTGGCCTTTTCATGTATATTCTGTAGAAGTCCCTTACAGTACTGGAGAATTTCTCCTTGTAACAAAGTGGAGGGCAAGTGACCCTCTGTTAGGTTCATAGGATGCCTAGTGATGATTTGGAATAGCAGCAATTGAGCCTTTCCTGTATGACTAGATCTTAGATAAAAGGACAAGAGGCAGGGTTTGGGGCTAGGGCAGACCAAAGGCAGTGGTTCATTTGGCCAATTGAGTCATGTTTCTTTTTTTTAATGTTTATTTATTCTTGATAAAGATAGAGATAGAGATAGAGAGACAGAGCACAAGCAGGGAAGGGGCAGAGAGAGAGGGAGACACAGAATCCGCAGCAGTTGTGAGTTGTCAGCAAGGAGCCTGATGCAGGGCTCGAGCCCACCAACCGTGAGATCGTGACCTGAGCGGTGTCGGATGATCAACCAACTGAGCCTCCCAGAAGGCCCTGGCCAATTGAGTTTTGATTGTGCCAGTTGAGTGTTCAATTAATCCTGAGGATTGAGGATGGTAGGTGCAATGAAAATGTTGAAAGATGGAATAGATTTTGCAGATCTCAAAAAAAAAAAAAAAAGAAAGAAAAAGATTTTGTAGATCTCTAAGACAATTTGGCCAGTAAAATGGGTTCATTGATCACTATGAAGCTGTCAAGAAATACCCCAATTTGGAATGATATTTTTTTCTAATAGATTTTTGGCCACTGCTTTAGCTGTTGCTTGCCTGCAAGGAAATGCCTTGATCCAGTGAGAAAACATACAGATCATTATCAATACATATTTATATTTGGTAAATGGAAAAAGCTGGATGAAATCAATTTGCCAGATGTCAAATGGTCCACCAAGAACCGACCTAAAGCAGCATGATACAGTTTTATAGGATTGTGCAAAGGGTAAATCATACATTTTTGAAATGTTGTCCAAATGTTGGGCAACAGTTGGAGATGGTTTCCAATAGTACTGTTGTGTCCCCTGGACAATTTTATTTGTGCCCCAAGATGGCATATCATGGATAAATTTAAAAAAGAGCCCTTTGGGCTCTTTTTGGTAGTATGGGTTTGTTTTTTGGTCCCACCCAAAGGTTGTCTTGGAGAAGTTCTCATAGGAGCCTTGTTTCATCCATTTCTCCTTTACATCTTCAGTCATGTTTTGTTGAGCTTGTTCTAAGTAATTTGGGTTAAGAGAATGGAAGGTCAAATAGATGGATGCTTGTGAAGTGCCAAATTGTTGGCAGTCTGGTTAGCA